AAAAAAAAGGTCTCTCCAAAGCTGTCCTTGAATATCCAATCTCAGTCTCTCAAGTGTTCAAGTTATAAACATTCACCATCTAGCTTGGTTCTTCTTTTCTTTTTTGGACAGTGTCTCACCAATGTAAACCTGGGTGACCTGGAACTACACACACTAGGCTGGCCTCAAACTCACATAGATTCACCTGCCTCTGCCTGCATCTCCTAAGTGCTGGGATTAAATGCATGCACCACAATGCCTGACTCAAAAAAAATTTTTTTTCTTGTTTATGTGTACGAGCATATTGCCTGCATGTATATAAGTGCACCCGTGTCGTGCAATGCCCTCAGGGGCCAGAAGAGGGCGTCAGGTCCCCAGAAACTGGAGTTATGGACAGTTGTTAGCCACCTTGTGGGTGCTGGGATTCGAACATGGGTCTTCTACAAGAGCAGCCAGTGCTCTTAACTGCTGAACTATCTATCCAGCACCTCCCCCACCAAATGCTTTTAAAGGATAAAAATTATCCTTGCTTTCTCTGTCACAGGTTGCGTGAGTCTCACATAAGCCAGAGACAGTGATGAGAATCATCCCAAAGGAAGGTGACCAACAGTGTGGAGAATGAGTCTACTTCAACGGAGACCAGAGGAACAGAGAGGTAAAGTGGCAGGTGAGTGTTCTGGGCTCTGTACCAGGAACAAAGCAGCTGCCTGCTCCTCTGGAATCTCCTTCAGTAAATCTCGGGCAAAGGCCTGTTCCATCTGTACCAGAAGAAAAGAAGAGCAGGGCTCAATGAGAACAGCAGGGGCAGACAGTACATTCAGGAACTCCTTCCCCGAGACTCCCTCAGGGACAGTTCTCCCTCCCCAACAGTGTACCCTGCCCTGGCCCTGAACTCACTTGCACTGTGATAAGATTCTGTTGTGTATGGTTGGAGCCAGGAATCTCCTCCCAGAAATGCAATGTGGCCTGGAACTTGGGTGGGGGACCTTGGCCATGGAAGTACCGGACCAAATCTGAAAGAAAAAGAGTCAAGGACTGGACTAGAGAAGAAAGAGGGCAGGCATGGTGGTGCATGCCTGTAATCCTAGCATTTAGGAGGCTGAGGCAGGAGGATCATCAGCTTGGTCTACTTAGTGAGTTCTAGGTCAGTCTGAGCTACAGAATGAGGACTTATCTCAAAAACAAAACCAAGCCAGGAGCGTGGTCTTTAATCCCAGCACTTGGGAGGCAGAGGCAGGCAGATCTGAGTTCAAGGCCACCCTGGTCTACATAGTGAGCTCAGGTCAGCTGAGGCTACAGGGAGACCCTGTCTCAAAAAGACAAAACAAAAACAAAACAAAAAAACCCAAAACAAAACCAAAAAAGTAGAGGCAGCCATGGGAAGAAGGGAATACCTGGGAACCCAGGGTGCACAAAGTGGTGGGAATGGGGTCACATGAACACAAGGCCAGAGCAGAAGCTGTGCTAGGGGCTAAGTTGCTACTTACTCACTGATGTACAACAGGAAAGGGAGCTTCCTCAAGAAGTTTAGAAGCAGCAGACACTGCAGCTAAAAGCTCTCTGCTGGGTGAGTTTGGAGTCCTCATAGGCAGCAACCCTGGCTACGAATCCCATTGTTGCTTGCTCACACCCTCCCAACACTAGGACACCCATGACCCTGGGAACACCCACACTCTGTTATACCCTTGGTCCTGGCCCCGATCCTATGCTCAGATTTAGAGGCTGGAACTGGAATTGGAAGAGTGGACAGAAGGAAGAGAGTCTTAGGAGTGTGGCAGAGATGGCACAGTGGGGCCAGTGTACGTAAGGTTCTTCCATAGAGTTGTGTGTTCCAGTGTGTGTATGTAGGAGAGTCACAAAGCTTAAAATCTGTTAACTTGTTTGCACACATTCATATAACAGTACTTCATGTGATAATGCTCCCCAAAATGTGACACTCTTTGTGCTAGACTCCTGCTGACCCTCATCTTCTCTGACCTAGCCTAGGGAAGAGCTGCCAAGACTGAACAAATGACTACATAGGATGTGCACCACACAAGTGCAGGAGTGCTATGCATAGGCTGCAGTGAAGATCTGCTGATAGACAGGGTGGTGGTAGGGCCCAAGTCAGGCCAGGCAATAGTGAAATGGGGGTAGGTGTTCGGGTGCCCAGCTAGAGCAGCCTCACCTCTGTAGAAAGAGGTAGTCCTGAAGAGCTCCACACACTTATTGCTGGGCAGTAGATGTGGGCCTGGCCCAGGTGGGGCCTCAGGTGCATTCCACGAGATGGGGATGGAGCAAAGACGCTGTACAAAGAGGCCTCTGGAGTTACTGGCTACCAGGATACCTCTCTCAAGTTGGCTCAGCAGGCGCTGGGTGGGCTCCAGTGGATCAGGTTTGGGAAACACCACCTGCTCCATGCTGCTCTCGGAGCCGGAGGGTTCAGCCACAAGGCGGCAGTCCAGGCTGTGCACGTGGGCCTCACCCACCACGCGCCCACAGTAGATGAAGGTGAGCAGCAGTGAGTAGTCTGGGGACAGAATAGCCCAGCTGTACCACGTGCTGGAGGAGCCTGAAAGCTGGTAACAGCCCTCTCCCCAGTGGTACACTGGTTAGCACAAGGCTTTAGGAAAATGGAGTTCCTTGAGATCCAGTGTTCTCATTTTGCTAATGGGGAAACTGAAGTTCAGAGAGGGAACCCAAGCAAGCACTGGGAAAAACAGACTGTGGCTAGGGCACCTGTTACACCTTCTGAGGTCAGAAAAGGTGCCCCTTGGAAGCTGGGCGTGGTGGCACACACCTTTAACTCCAGCACTCAGGAGGCAGAGGCAGGCAGATCTAAGTTCAAGGCCAGCTTGGTCTACATAGTGAAATCCAGGCCAGTTGGGGCTACAGGGAGACCCTGTCTTAAAAAGACCAGAAAAAGAAAAGGTGCCCTTGGGCTGATAATGTGGCTAGGTTGGAAGAGGGGAAGAGTGCTTGCCTAGCATGCAGAAAGCCTTGGTTCAATCCCCAGCATTGCATAAACCCACAAACCTAGCATGGTAGCCTAGGTCTTTAATTCGTGCACTCAAGTGATCAGAAACTCAAAGTCATCTATGGTTGTATAGTGAATTTTACGTCAGTCTGGGCTACATGAGACCCTGTCTCAAAAAGAAGCGAAAGCTGGGCCTGGTGGTGCCTGGCCTTTACTGACCAGATTAGGAGTCACCCCTCTGAGCTTAATGGTCATGGCTGTGTAGCTTATAAGAAGGTCTCAGAGACTGGGCTTTCTTGATCATAATGAAATCAACGTCTCAATATGGATGTCCAGGGAACAGAGTAAGAAGGGTGCTCTGGGGGTTTTCCCAAAAAAGCTTTATGAAGAAATGAAGAGTGTATGATCTGCCACATGGAATACTCAATGGATAGAATGGTGCCTGAAACAAAGAGGGCCCAGTTTGTTCTAAGTTCTGGTGGAGTATATAATTCAGGCAAGATCAGAGGAAGCAGACCTGAGCAAAGGAAATGAGAAAGGGTTAGAAAAGCCAAGTACCTGAGTTCAGAGGAAGCGGATGTTCCATGGACACTGGGTCCTCTTGAATGGTGGCTTCAGTTTTGACAGTAACTGGAAGGGAGGCAAAGGCATTCATTATTCAGAGTGGGACTGAGGAGTCCAAGGGACAGAGGGTGCAGCAAGGGAGGTGACACAGAGGCAAGGGAGACGGTACCTTCCTGTGGTTCAGGACTGCTGCTGTTCCCACTGTCTGAGTGGTCTGTGACCCCATTGGCCCTCACCTCCTCCTGCAGATGCAACATCTACCATTGGCTCACTTCTTCCTTTGGTTACTGTCCCACTCTAGGCCCACCTAGGCCCTCTCCAGCACTCACATTATCAGGGGAGTCGTGAGGACAGGAATAACTGAGCGTGCAGTTCTTGATGCCCACATTCTCTTCCCTCTTGGGTGACACAGAACTGAAGGATTGCTTGGATGAGGAGTTCTGGATTCCTGACTTGGCTGTGTAATTATTGAGTAGAGTGAAAGGTTAGTAAGTAAAAAGTTCTTTTACACAGAGAAAGATGGTAGGGGAAGGTCTCAAGCAGCTAAAAGCTGGGCAGGTCTGGGAAAGCGATCTGGGATAAGGCCTCTGAGAGGTCTGGGGAGGGCTGTCACCTCCCCAGAAGGCTTTGATCTCCATTCTTCCTTGCCAGTTTGCTCATTCCAAGAACAGTTGGCCAAGGGGACACTCACCAGGGAGGGTTCTTGGTTTCAGCAGCCGATATACTTTGTAGGGCTCAGCAACATCCATACGGCCTCTCTTAGGAACCTCCTCAAATTCAGGACTCTTGTTGAGGGCACAGCGTAGGCGAGTTTTCCAGACAGCAGGGCCTCCTATGTTCCCCTCCTTGTACTTTCCCTTAAATATTGCCCAAGCCTAGTAGGAAATGAGGTGAAGAAAACACAAAGTCTTATAGTCTCTAGATGTCCCTCCAAAGGGTTGGTTTCCCTGGCATATGGCCTGAACACTTGTGCAGGCCTTGAGCTCAGATGGGCTTGTACTGGGTTTGTATTCTCCTCTTGCCATCTTGAAATCCTTAGTAATTTTTGACTGTGGTTCTGCAAATGGAAGAGCTGGTTCCACTTTTCAGGATGCCCTTTACCCAAAACCCAGGCAGACAAAAGTGCTTGGTGGTAAGCACACAGTGCATACAACCATCCTCTACTGGGGAGGTGATGGTGGTTTCCTGGCCCTTTCACCTTGAAGAAGGCAGCATCCTGGTCTTCCCGGAAGTCCTGTTTGCCTGCATGCTTCCAGGGAATTCGGAACATGGTCTTGGCTGCATCTTCCCAGCACACCCCTGGGAACTGCCTACTCTCCACTTGCTGCACCACCCATTCCCGGAGCTTTCGGGTACAGCGTGGCTTGCCTGATGCCATTCTAGAAAAAAGGAGCAGGATGCATGAAAATTGATCGTTCAGGAGATAAAAATCCAATGAACCTTGACTGTTGGGGCCAGCTTCTCCAAACAGACCCTCCCTTTCTCCCATTTTCTTTTGGTTCTAAACATGTCTCAACATCATCTGAGGTGAAACTATTTCAATTCTGCCATCACTAGCAATTGTTTTTTAAAATTTCTTAATATTTTAAGTTATGATGCCTAGAGGGAAACCTTGGCCACTGGTCTTAATGTTGAGGTGTTTCAGAAAATTGGGGGAATTCCCTTGATGTTCTGCTCCTGCAGAGGCTCTGTCTAGATTCCCAGCATCTGCAGGGGCAACAGCTGCTTTGAAGGCATCTCACCAACCCTCTACTCACCATGTTGACCACCTATCCTTTCACCCCCGTCTCTTCTCCCTTTGCAGGAGAGGCAGAGTTGGGGGCAGGGCCAGAGGCAAAAAACAAAAGGTCAGCTGAGGCTGGGCAAAGGGCCTTCCTCCAGAGGTAAGTTTGCAGCAGTGCCTCCCTGTCTCCTGCCTACTGGACCTTGGACACCGGTCCTATCAGCCTTCACTCTCAGGCCAAACTTCCCATAGAAGGCGATTGAGAAGCCTTCTGTCTGATCCTTCCTCTAGCCTAGGCCCTGGAACCTTCACCTCATCTCACAGTCCTTCTGGCTCTAGATACCAGGCCGAACCCCCCCCACCCAACCCCCTTGGGGCTGCTCTTACCTGAGCTACAGTCCGGTATGTCCAGTATTCACTCAGCCTCAGCTCGGTTCTCGGCTAAAAGGCTTTCTGATGTCTCCACCCCTTTCTACAGTCCCCACCCTAAGTTTCAGTTCTCCTCCAGGGAGGAGCGGTTCCCAGAAATCACGTGGTCTGAGTTGCAGGGCAAGCGGTTACCAGCAGAGGGAAGCAGCTGCTGAGAATTCTCCCAGTCAACTCAGTCAAGCAGCAGGCCCAGGGTCTGCTTCCTTCCTGCCAGGCTCCTTCCTCCCCTTCCTTTCAGGGCTACTCCTTGCTGGCAGCAGTCCTGTGCTGACACTTCCCCAGGGAGGTCAAGTTCCAGATCAGCCCCGGGGTCTCGGGATCTGCGCTCCTCAACAATGCTTGCTTGATATACTTCGGCTGACCTCGAATAGCAGCTGAAGTTAATGAAAGGATAAAAAGGAGGAAGGTGAAGCCCAGGCCAGGTGGTTGGATGGGGAGGGTCTCCTTTGCCCATCCATGGTTTCTGCTGTCTTCCTGGCCAGAAGTCCAGGACAGGTTAAATGGCTGGCTGCAGGGGGCCCTTCCAACAAATATTCTGTTTGCCCACCCTATCCCCTTTCCCTAATGCCCCTAGATGGTGAGGCCAGGAAGAAGGACCACCAAGAAGCCTAGGCAATAAGATGCCTCTTTATTGGTGCTGGAGCCATCTTGGGGAAGTAGGATCATGGGCCCTCATCAGGACCCGGGCCCTCTGCTACTTCCTTCTGCGGGCGATACTCTGTCCCAGTGGTACCTCTTCTGTCAGCTTCTGTGAAGGAGAGAGAGGGAGGCTGATACTGGAAATCTGGAGTTCAGAAAGCGGCTGTGACAGGTGACTTCTGGAGGGCGGGGTCAGGAAAAGCTGGGTGACATCTTTACCTGTAACAATCGGGCTTGGTAGGCAGTAAGATCCTCTCCAGCCATTGGCTGGGGGTGTACATGTAGGTAGCGCTCAATGGCTGTTTCCAGCTCCTCCACTTCATACAGGGTTGCTGGGTCCAAGGAGTGGGCATTGATGAGGCTCACAAGATACTCTTTGTAGTGTGCCCTGGGTAGATAGGTAGCCGAATATTTATTCTTCTGTTTAGTATTAATGGAATGTGTTTAGTACTTTGCAGATTCTTTAAAAAAATGTACATTTACTTGTATGTGCATGCATATGCACACATATGGAGGTCAGAAAACAACTTTTGAGAGTTGGATTTCTTTCCATCTTGTGGGTTGGGGGGCTGAACTCAGGTCCTCTGGCTTGGCTAGCAAGTGCCTTTTCCTGATGAGCCATCTCTTAGACAAATAAGACTACCAAGTCCTCAGGCTGCTGTACTTACAGAAAGTGACACCCAGTATCTCTATGCTGCTGCTACTACCCTTATCCAGAGAGATCCCTCCTTCCTCTGCTTTGAAGGACCCCATGTTATGGCTTGAGCAACCTAGCCCCCCAGATCCCCACCACCACCAATCACAGGCACTCACTGGCAGAGGCCTGCATAGCCTGGCTGGGTTTCTTTGCCACAAGCTTCGTCCCGGAGCCCATTGGGAACCTCCTTCTGCTCCATCACTCGGCAGCCACCTAAGAGTAAAGGAAGGAAGGAATACTCTGTTGGGAGGAGGCCACTGACTACAAAGCCCCTGGAGATTTGGGATATCCACAGAGGGGAACAGCCTCCAAGGAAGGGGCTGAGCCCAGGAAATACTGCTCTACCAGTTGTGGTAGTAAAGTACTTAGAGATGAACTCAGTGGCAGGGCATATTAGATTCAGAAGTAGAGACCTTGCTATAGCCTTACTTTTACTCAAGATGGCTTTGGGCCCATAATCACATGCTTCCTTAAAACTGCTCTTTTGTTGGGTGTGGTGATTGATGCATGCCTTTAACTCCAGCACTCAGGAGGCAGAGGAGATGTGGATCTCTGAGTTTGAGACTAGCCTGGTGTACACAGTGAGCACCTACCTCAAAAAACAAAAACAAAAACAAAAACAAACTTGTTTTTTTCTCTCTTGCTCTCATTGAGGATATTAATGTTTTTTAAAAAATTTATGTGTATGGGTGTATTGCCTTCATGTGTGTAAGTGCACCCATGTTATACAATGCCTTTAGAGGTCAGAAGAAGGCGCTGGATTCCCTTGGCACTGGAGTTATGGACAGTTGTTAGATGCCATGTGGGTGCTGGGAATCAAACCTGGGTCCACTATAAGAAAAGTCAGTGCTCTTAGCCACTGGCCATCTCTCCAGCCCCTCCCCCCCTTTAAGACAGGATCCTCCCACAGCCCCAGCTCGCCTGGAACTCCCTATGTAGACCAGGCTGGCCTCCAGCCTCTACCTTCCAAGTGCTGGGATTACAGGTGCACACCACCACGCCCGGCTAATACTGCTCTTGATTGTTCTTTAGCTCCTGTATGGTTAATTTATTCTGGGAGTCTTACCTGAATCTAGATGGTAAGAAGTAAGGTAGGTTGGAACCTTAGTTAATAACTTTTGTTGCCCTCATAGAACCTAAACCAGTGCCCTGCAATTAGCAGGTCTCATTAACTGTCCATAGAGCTAATTAATGAATCATAATATTAGAGAATGCGGAAAGAAACTTAAGGGCCAAATGCTTTAATGATACCTTGTGCAATACAGCTTAGCCACAAGGTAGATGTTACCCTCATTTCACAGGAGGAAATGAGACATGGAGAGGTTATTTAGTTTACCAACGAACACACAAGTAAGCCCAGATCCAAGCACACCATCTCTACTTCAGAGGCTTGTCTGACACTTACCTCCAGGGACTGCCCGGGCCCCAGCTGGAGGCTCTGTATTAAACATGATGTTATTTTCCTGAGGAGAGGTAGAGACATATGGGCATTGTTTCCTTTAATCCAGCCACTGCTGAATTTTCTCGTAGCCAGCCTTTTCCCTTCTTTCCCACCCTGGACCCTGCCTCTTCTCTTAGCAACCTGAGCACCCCGCTGGGCTGGCCACCTCTAACCTGCAGCAGTTTCTGGAGCCGGACAGCAGGCCAGTCCCGTAGGTAGAAGAGGCAGTCTCGAGGGTGGTGGCCATGCAGGGACTTTTTCACCCTGCAGTTTGGGTCTGGACATTTCTGGTAAAACCCAGATGGGAGAAGGGAAGTTGGAGACTGTTGGGATCCTGGACTCTCAAGAACCCGTGTGAGGGGTACTGGGGTGAGAGGAGATGAAGACATTAAAGGGTCTAGGGCAAGCAAAGGGGAAAAAGGGACAGAGGCACCGTAGAGCCTACTGACCTCTTTCTTTCCCCTGGGCTGCTCCTTTATAGCCTCTGCCCCTCAAGCCCAAGGCAGCCTCCCCACTTCTCTTCCTTACTCTCTGAACTCACATTCTTGGCATAGAAGGCATTGTAGCAGCCACTGCAGAACTGGTGACGGCACTGGGTGCAGTGAAAGTGCATGCAGCCTCCTCGGGCCAGTGCATAAGAGAACTTGCACTTAGGGCAGTCTGTAAGGGGCCAGCAGTTCAGGGTGAGCTGTCATTGTAACTCAAAGCCCTCAAGAAGGAAGCCACTGCCAAGATAAGACCACGGAGCAGACCAAGCAGGGCAGCCTTACCAATGCCATTTTCCTGAAGATACATTGCCAGACCCTGAGCCTGGTATTCAGGGTCATTGGTACGTTTCCAGTTCTGGAAATCCTCACAGCTCCGTCCTCGGTGCTGTTCCTCCCACTGCCAGAAGGAAAGAAGGCTTTGCATGGATGCTTTCTCCCATGCCCTGGGTCCCTCTTGTTGGTCTTACACCCTTTGCTCAAAACTGGGGGGTGGGAAAGGGGACATTCTGTTTTCATTTCCTCACGTGACCACTATTTATTCATAAGTCTTGTTTACACCTTCCAAACCTGTCTCAATCCCGCCCCTTCTCTGTCCTCACCGCTACCACCTTCCTCCAGGTACAGCCGCACCTTGCTTCAGACACATGCTTGCTTTATTCCAGTCTGCTTTCACTTCTGTGTCCCTGTACCTTAGTCTCTACACTGCAGCCAAAAGGCCTTTCAAAGTAGAGGTCAAGGGGTTTCAACAGTATTAGTGGTATACTAAGTCTGAGGTTTGCCAGTAGGGACATCGGTGTTTGTTTTATGTTCTATGACACAGATTCAAGTATTCTGGTATCAAACTAACCTTTTAAAATGTAAGTGACAGTGTCACTCTTTGTGCTTAGTCTTAGAATGAAAGCCAAACACCTGCCTTACTTGGCCTCAAAGGCTAGCCTCATCTGGCGGCTGCTCCTATCCAACTACCTGCCAGTATTACACACACCTATACTCTCAGCACTCAGGAGGTGAGTGGGAGGACTGCACAAAGTTTTAGGCCCGTTTGGGCCACATAAAAGAATGCTGTCTTAGCTGGGCGTGGTGGTGCATGCCTTTACTCCCAGCACTCAGGAGGCAGAGGCAGGCGATCTTGTGAGTTCAAGGCCAGCCTGGTTTCCACAGTGAATCCAGGCCAGCTGGGGCTACAGGGAGACTGTCTCAAAAAAAAAACCAAAAAACAAAAATCAGCAAAAAAACAAAACAAAACAAAATGCTATCTCAGAAAACCAAAAAAAAAAAAATTAGATTTACGTGTCCTCTGTATGCTCCGTAGGTCCATGCTGTTCTTCACGGACTTTACCTATGTATAATTACTACCTCTCTCCTTTGCCCATCTCTCCTCTACCTTCCCTTCCTTGACTTTCTTCTTTTCCTCCCTCCATTTTCCCTTTCTCCTTGAACTTGGCTACTTACCTAGTAAACTTTTCCTCCCTGTGAGTATGGGAGTGTCAGTGTGGGGAGTTTAGCCTGTGTGTGGCCAGAACAACATCCTGTATCATGCCTCAAGTGCCACCCAAATCTGTTTTTGTTTTTTTGAGACAGAGTCTTCCTGTAGCCCCAGCTAGCCTAGAACTCACTATGCAGACCAGGCTGGTAATTTGCCTGCCTCTGCCTCCCTAGTGCTGGGATTTAAAGGTGTGTAGCACCACTGCTGGGCTCTTTTTTTTTGAATCAGGGTCCCTCACTGGCTTGGAACTCACCAAATGGACTAGGTTGGCTGGCCAGCAAGTCTCAGGGATCCACCTGTGTAGTGCCCCAAACCCCCATTGAGATTGTAACTGTGCACCACAAGACCTGGCTTTAAATTTTAAAAATGACATTTACTTATTTATTTGCAGTTTGCCTGCCATCACCTAGCTTTTTTTTTTTTTAAATACAGGTTATGGAGACCGTACTCTGCTCCCCATGCTTTCATGGTAAACACTTTACTGAGCATGCTATCTCCCTAGGCTGCTTCTCCACCCCAACCCCACAGGTCTTTTAAGCTTAGAGTTCTTGACTGTCTTGCCTTCTAGTACACTCCCTGAGTCTAACAGTACCTGGCAGTACCTGACTCAACACTTCTGAAAGGATGAGTGTGACTCACCTGGCGCTTGCAACGCACACAGAAGGTCTGGTGACACTGGGGACATGTCGCCTCTAGCTGTTCACGCTCATATATGAAGCCAAAGGAGCACTGTGAGTCCAAAAGAATACAGCTATTCAGGGCTGGACCTGGTACCATCCCCTTGTCCCTCCATAGTCAGCTCTTTTGATATGGTCACTTACCTGGGCACACCACAAGAACTTGGGGTCCCGCATGAGCACACCCTCAGTCAGCTTCTTATGGAACAGAGCATAGGCATCTGGGTCTAGACTCTCTCGGAGCTGGGGACAAGATGCAGAGGTGGTCGGAAGACAGAATTCCTGTTTACAGCTAGTATACCTAAACCCTAGGGGCTGTAGTACCTGAATGTCAAGGGTGGAAAAGTAGCTGAGTAACTGTGTGTCATCAGTAAGGTCGGGGCGGCCACAGGCAGGGCACACCATATCTGTGATGTGCTTTTCCTTCAGGGCTATGGTGAAGTGTTGCCGGAAGCAGTCAGGACAGATGGTGCACTCACAGGAAATCAGGGCCTGCATCTACAGTGGGAGGGGGAGAGGAGGAGAAGCAGCTGTCAGCCCCGGGAAGGGTCAATAGCCAGGGATCCACTGAAAGACTAAGGTCTAATCAAAGGGGCAAAGGTATCAACCGTAAGTGCGTACATGTGTTAGGCAGGAAGCACATATCTAAGGACAGCTGGATAGAGGAAAACAGATAATGCTGAGAACTAAAGTAAAGTAAAAATGTCTCTAAAGGCATTTACATTCAATTAAAAGCAAAAGACAATCGAGATGGACAAGAGATTAGTCAGTGTAGGGAATGTTGAGTAGGTGATTATAACTATAGGTTTAGCACAAGGTAGTTCCTTTGTAGCTTGAAAAAATCTGTGCCTTTGTTTCTGGAAACAGGTCTGTTATGTAACCTAGGCTGGCCACGAAATCCCAATCCTCTAGCCTTAGCCTTCTGAGTGCTAGGATTATAGGCATGTACTACCACACCTAGCTATAATCTGTATCTTTTATATTTTTTAATTTTTGATTTTGAGAGACAGGATCTTACTATATATTTCTAGCTGGCCTGGAACTCACTATGTAGACCAGGCTGACTTTAAACTCACAGAGATCCACCTGCCTCTGCCTTTAGAGTGCTGGAATTAATGGTGTGCAATATCAAACCTGGCTATAATCTGTATCTGTAATGCTGGCTGTTCTATGAATCTATATTTGGGTAAATTGCAAAAATGACATTGATGGACTAGGGATGTAGCTGAGTTGGTTTAGCACTTTTCCTAGCATGTACAAAGCCCTGGGTTCCATACCCAGTGCTGCATAAACCAGGCCTGGTGGCTCACATGTGTCATCTTTACACTCGGGAGGTGGAGACAGGAAGATCAGAAGTTCAAGGTTATCCTTGGTTAAATATTAAGTTTGAAGTCAGCCTGGCCTACATCAAAAACAAGACAAAAGTTTCAGCAGTTAAGAGAGCATACTGCTCTTTCAGAGGCCCCAAGCTCAGCCTGTCATGTGAGGTGGCTCACAAGCACCTAGAATTTGAAACCTCTGGCCTCTGCTGGCACCTGCACACATACCCACATGCACATAATTAAAAAAAATAAAAAGATAAAACCAACCCTACATACAAGTAAATAACAAACAAGAACTGTAATATAATTAATGTTACCTGTATATTTCTTTTTTTAATGAAGCATTTTAAAAAAAATTTTATTTATTATTTTTATTTTATGTATATGCGTGTATTGCCTGCATGTAGGTAAGTGCACCCGTGTAGTGCAATGCCCTCGGAGGACAGATGGGGCTGTCGGATCCCCTGGAAGTGGAGTTACAGACAGTTGTTAGCTGCCACATGGTGCTGGGATTTGAACCTGTGTCTTCTGCAAGAACAGTCAGTGTTCTTAACTGCTGAGCCATATCTCCAGCCCCTGAATTTACATCTTAAGACATACAAATAAAATACAACATGGAGCCATACTAAATCTGTATTTAGCTGAAGAACTATATCTAACCTTGACTAAGTGAGGGCTCAAGATATAATAAAATCCTGTCTGTCAACTAGACACCTTGATATTAAAGAATTACTATGCTGGGGATATAACTCATTTGGTAGAGTGCTTGCCTAGCATGCATGAAGGTCTAGGTCAATCCCCTGTACTGCATGTAACTTGGCATGGTAGCACATGTCTGTAATCCTAGCACTTGGGATATAGAGGCAGGTGGATAAGAAGTCCAAGCTCATCCAAGGTCACTTCTGTCTAACAGTGATGGGATACATGAGACCCTGCCCCACCATGCTCCCCCACCCCCCCCAAAAAAAGAAAAGATCACTGCTGCGCTGGAGAGATGGCTCAGTGGTTAAGGGGACCCAAGTTCAGTTCTCAGCACTGACATGGTGGCTAACAACTACCTGCAACTCCAGCTCCAGGGATCCTGGTGTCTTTTTCTGACCTCATTGGGCACCCACACGTGACATATATACACAGACATACACATACACAATAAAAATTAAAAAATAAAAAATAAAAAAGAGGTGGTGCATGTTTTTTAATCCTAGCACTGGGGGGGGATGGGAAGGGGGGGCAGAGGTAGGCAGATCTCTTTGAGTTCAAGGGGGGGTCTTTTTGAGACAGGGTCTTCCTGTAGCCCCAGCTGGCCTGGAA